AAATTTGTGTCAAAGTGAATTAGTTTTAGTGACATCTAAGATTCAAATTGAGCCCTCCTATGTCGAGGAGTCAAAAAAATATATATACATATATAATTTTAATGGCTGCTAACTAAAAACTTTTTAGAATCTCATTAGTTTTCTTCCTAACCCATTTGTTTCAATTTAATTGCTGAATTGATTTAAAGCTATCATTCAATTTTCTCAAAAAGTAAATAAGTAAAATAAAATAAAAAAGGCTAATCATTCAATATTTAGATATTCCAATCTTTATTTTAAAGAAAAAAAGCAGAAATTTTTGGAAGGAAATAAATTTTTGTTATGTGTTAAACTAAATCGTTTACCAAGAGAAAATTTGTATTACTAAACTTAGGTATAAAGTTTTATCGACATGTCGCTATTTCTATCCACAATTTCGTAGGTTCCATGGTGGAATAAGAGGTGACTCAGCATTTCATTATATTATTATAAAATTGATGTGCACATATAATATAGCAAATGTGAACTTAATATTAATAATTTTAACTTATTCAAAAATGGTAAATTTTTATGTTATTTTTTTTTTAGTATAATATGTTGGAGAGGGCATTTGAACTCACAACTTCTCGGTTGGAGATATACGCCAATTATAGTTGGCAAAATTTTATGTTAATTTAAATATTTTTATAAATTTCTTGATTTTTTAGAAATATCTACATCGACATTTTATTGATATTTCTACTAACGTTTCTATAAAATTGAGATCTCGACATTTTTTATCAATATTGACATTAAAATTATGATTATAACTATGTGAAACTATTTGTTACTCAAAGGAAAAAAAAACTCATATCAATGTCACAACTTATACCCAGACCTAATAGAGTACACATTAAATTTACTATGTTAGGTCAAAGTAAGTATCGCTCAACGATAATTGGCATATATCTCCAACTAAGAGGTTGTGAGTTCGATTCCCCCACCCCACATATTATACTAAAAAAATTTATGCTATGTCAGCTGTGAGAATTCATTTAAAGAAATTTTAACTTATTTAATTAAAAAAAAAAAGAAGAAGAAGAAGAAAGAAAGAAGATAGTATAGTCATAACTTTTCTTTCTTTTCTTCTTTCTTTCAAATATATTACAAAGTGTGTGCTTTTCTGAGTATATTTATATTACATTTGAATTTGAGATTGATTTAAACTATTTTATTTTTATAAAATTTTAAAGTTTCTACCCTATTTTGAAAATATAGTTTATTTTATGCTATTTATGTTGTAAAATATTCTAACAATGGAAATTTCTTTCTCCTTTTTTTTTTTTAAAGACCAATGCTTCTTTTTTTCTGGTGCATAAAACACTGTAAACTTTAGAAAGAAAATAAGTGGATGATAGTAAACACTTTAATTAAAGATAATTATAAACAACGGTTATGAGCATGGTTCAATAGTTAAAGGCATATCCCCTTTAATCTGAGTTTCAAATTTGAGTCCTCTGCTAATTGTAGCGTTACCAAATAAAATTATTATATCATTTTTAATCTTTCAAATATTTTTGCCACGTTTCATTGCGTCAAGAATATTAAAATAATATTTTAAAAAAAATAAAAACAAGAAATACCAAATAAAAGAATCCAAAAAATAGACAAAAACCAAAATGTACTATCACTAGATTGACGTACTAAAGGAAATTGTTAGGAAATTTCTTCTGGAGAAACTTGAATGAAAAAATAAATATAACCCATAACTCATTGACCTACTTTTTCTGCACTAAGTGAAGGACAAAGTGCATAAAATTTCAGTGGAAATTTCTAGGAATGCATTTTCCACACTCATAGCTTCCCCACGCCTGGCATGAAGCATGCACAATCAAAATCAAGTTTTTTCTTTTGATATTTTGTTTGAATTTAATTTTAATGATTCTAACCATTTCAATTTGATCTTTGATATAAATCTATTAAGACCTTCTCGCGAGATTGACTAAGTAATTATCGTTTTCTTACCTTATACGTCAATTTAGCATTTTTCTGCCATCTTTAAAGAAAATATGTTTAATTAGTTAAAATCAAATGACTAATTAAAATTAATGTTTTTCACTCTAGAGTGTAATTTATGAAAAAGTAATTAATTATTATATTAAAAGGTGGCCAACTTCTTTTATGGTCAATTTTAAATATCTAGTGGAAAAGTGTGGGTGGTTTTTTTGTTATTGGTGTGCGTTTTTTTTTTTAGTAAAGAAATGTGAGGAGGGTGAAGGGTGATTTGAACTACGTAATTAGTGTTTATTTTGGCCCGTTTTGGATTCGAACCTACGACCAATCGGTTAACAGCCGACCGCTCTACCACTGAGCTACTGAGGAACAACGGGAAATTTGGTCTCATAGAATTCAATTCCCGTTCTCAACCCATGACCAATATGAGCTCGAGGTTTCCTTCGTAACTCCCGGAACTTCTTCGTAGTGGCTCCGTTCCATGCCTCATTTCATAGAGAACCTCAAAGTGGCTCTATTTCATTATATTCAGATTCACTAGTCAAATGGATTCAAGAAATAGGGGTTCGCAGAATTTTTTATATTCGTTTTTTAAAACTGTTTTTGGATTTTGTGATTGAAACAGTAGAAATTCTGAAAACGATTTTTTTTATGTTTTCAGTGTTTTTAGATTCAGGATTTGAAATTTTTAACATGCAGAATTACATTAAAAAGATAAAAACTTTGATAACATATATTACTTCGTATTATAACTTGTTAAAATTGAAACATAAACATGTAAAATATAATGTATTCTAAATTATATAACCTTGTAAAATAACAATCCTACAAAATTCATAAAAAAATATTAATAAATTACTTAATATAAGTTTAGATTAAACTAAAATTTAGTTTGTAACTACTTTTAGTTTACAAATATATTGCTAAACAACCATTGAACAATTTTTTTAAATTCATATTCAATTACCAAATCTGCTACCAAACACATATCTGAAAACATTGAAAATAAATAATACAACTCTAGAATTTCAAGAACTTTGAATTGTAGTTCTATATAGTTCATGTTATTAACATAATTGACACTACCTCCACATATATGTTTTTTATTTTGTTATGTATTTTTAAAAAACGCTTTTAAAATTTAAGCGAAATTTACCTTTAAGAAAGATGAAAAATATATCAAATAAACTATAAAGAAGAATAATTTTGAAAAACAGAAACTAAATACGATTTTATTATCAAACGGGGCTATTAAGACAAATATTATTAGTGATTTATCACGATATAACAAATAAAAGTTTGAAAAAATAAAGTATTATGCATAGAGTTGTATCAAATATCTTTTATATATAGATCATGTCACTCAATCCTACACGAGATAGTCCATTTTTTTCTGTTTGATTTTGCTCCTGCCCATAGTTTGTGTATTGTCACAATTTATCACTCAAAACTTTTATTAACAAAATTCCAAGTTGCTGAACGACATTAATTATGCATATTTAAGATTTGAAAATTTTTACCACCTTGATGTTTCCTTTTAATTTCATTTATTATATTTATATATGCTAAATGTATGCTTTACGGCCTAATGTTTGGTATTTTTTCAATTTGTCTTTGTGTTTTACATTTTTCAATTTATTTCATAACCGTGGGTTAACGTTGAGATTGATTAATAATAAACTTATAAGAGATGATAACTTAGTAATTATTTGGCAAAATTTTTTTAGAAGAAAAATGGTCATTAGGAGGGGAAAAAACTTGAAATTTCTACCAATTTCTTAAAAACTTAGAGGAGGGATTAGAAATTTTCCTCTTCAATATGATCTTTTTCTTTCTTTAAATTTCTATTAATTCAATGTTGTATAATTTTTTTTCATTAGATCAATTTTAACATTTAAAACAATTACATTTAATTTTATTATATCTTTAATCAATTTTTTTTCTAAAATATGTCTTGATCACTTGAATTCTTATTCTTTTTATAGCAGTTAGAATTCTCATTACAATTACTTTGCTATGTTAATTATATTCAATATAGTTTTATTGATACACATTTTGTTTATGATATTTTTGCTACTTAATGTGAATCTGGTAACAATTTGTGTTGTTCCTATGAGGTTTTATCCTTTTTCCGAGTTGATTAATGACCATCGCCAAAGAAAAAAAATGTCAATGTCGATAGAAATATTGAGGTCTCAAGACATTTCAGAAAATATTATAAAATAAAAAATTATAACAAATATTTAAGTTATAAGAGAAGTACTATTTCATCAATTTCTAGATAAATTAATAATAATTAGTAATAATATTATATTCACCAAAACGAGCATAACTTAACGGTAATTGGCATATACCTCCAATCGACAGGGTGTGAATTCCATTCCCTCCACCTTACATGTTGTACCAAAAAAAGAAGTAATAATATTATATTCATATTCTAAAGATTACTTTTACAAACAAAAATAATCATGTTGTAAGCTTTTTATTAGTCATGGGTTAAATAAGTTTGGTTCCTTAAAGTTGAGGAATTCGACACTACTTTAGAACAGATAAAAATGACTTTTTTCTAATTAATTTTATTATTTTCATGTTGAAATAGCACAATTTTTAAGATAGCATGGCAAAGTTAATTCTTGTTTACCTCCTTTGGAAGACCATCAAAAGAAAATATATAATTACATCTCTCTCAAATGATTTTACGTGTAATTAACTTGTTTCTTTAACTCCACAACCTAAAACATAAACATAGTTCAACTGATCTCAAAGCAATCAATAATCTCCCTAATAGATTTAATGAAAGTTCACTTTGAGAAATTATTCAAGAGATTGGAACAATTATAGTAATTTAAACCATGAATCTCTATCTAATGGTTTAGACATTAGATAGGACCAGCCACCCATAATCTTGCTATCAACATTAAATAATTTCTCCAAAGTCTTTACCTCTAGCTTGAATAATAATACTTTTTAAGAAAAACTCGATATATATTTTAACCCTAGACGTGTTATTTAAACAAAATCGTTATGGAACCAGTATACGAGAGGGGTGTGGTTGGTATATTATAAATATAGAAGGGTAAGTGGGTTGGTTGTGGAATATCCAAAAGGAAAATTAAAGATGTGGTGTGGTTGGAGAGAAGAGATGGAGAATAGGTTGCTTGGTGAAATGAAAAGCAAAAGGATCAAAGTTTCTTGAAAGCTTCAAGGGAGAGATTTCTACCTCCACAAGGTAAGCATCTATATACAAATTTGTGTTGAATTTCCCTTTCTTCTTATTCTTCATATCCTTTTTTCTTTGTTTATATTTCTTCCATCTTTTTCTTCTACTCTTTTTTGCTTTCTCGTCTCCCGACCGATAGATGTAGAAACTTCAAACAAGGATAATAATCCAACGAATCCCTCYTTTTTTAAAACTTGAACCACAAAACTACAAATGTGAGGATAGGTATCGAACTTTCAACTTTCAAAGAAGATGATAGATAATATTTTTTATCCACCGAATTATGTTCGAATTCACCGAAACTCCGCCGTCGTTGTTAGTTAAATAAATCAGGCAACCAATCTCTTTCTCTCTTTGTGCAAAGCTACATGGTTTAGAGAGCTCACCTTTTAATTTGTTTTGTTTTAATGTTGTTGAAGATACACTTTGWCAAAKAAAGGAAATGGGGAGGAAATTTCCTCTTCATTTCCGGAGATTGCGTCTCCTTTAATGCAACGTTGTCATTATTTATAGTCTAAATAGTGCTACGTTGCGTCGTTCACAATCAAAATGACATGTTTTTTAGGCCCATTTACTAAATAACAAAGAATCAGAATGAAAAAAAAAAAAGAAATGAAATGAAATCGATCGGAATGAAAATTATTGAGTACAACATGTRGAGATGGGAGATCGAACTCACAATCTATTAGTTGGAGATATATGCCAATTACACTGAATTATGCTCACTTTGACATAAAACCATAAAAATGTTGATCGTTTGATGTTGTTTACTRGACAATATTAACCCAAATTAGAAATTGTTAAAAACCTACTTTTATGTATTTCATTTTAATTTTAATTTCTTCTATTTAGCCCTCAATTTTCAAATATGAATTATGCTTTAGTCCAGACAAATTGTCTTAGTCCATATTCTTATTTTCTTATTAATTATCTAACATCCGTAGAAATCCATCATTTTGAGATCTATTAAAGTAGTGAATTTGAATCTCCAACCAAAAATACTGCTGATGGCCTCATCTTCTACCAATAAAACTCAAGAATACATAATTTTTTTTATCTATAATAGTAGCTAGTTTTTATGAAACATAATTGATTTAATACGTAGGGGTGAGTTCACGGTTTCACACACCTAGTAGATTTCAGGTATCATTTTCTATTCTAGATGATACTTGAAAAAGACGTCCATGTATCCCAAGTTTTATTCGTGGAAGATAGAAAGAGGATGAGCTCCTTTATCCGATATTTCTAGTGTGATTTTTTGAGATAAATAGTGTATTGACTAATTTAGCTACCTCAGGTCAACTAGATCCAATATTTTGTTGAAAAAAATGTCTATATAAACATCTATTTATTAAACTAATTAATAAGCAAAACAAATMATGATAATAACTAAAATAGTTTAGATATATAAACTAATCGTTTAAGGGCTAAATTAGAATGTTTGAAAATCTAGCAACAAAAGAGTTTGGCTAAAACAATTTAAATATTTTTCTCATCAAAATTTTATTGGTAACCAAAATGTGGACATTACTAAAAAAAATGGTAATTTACAACTTACAATAGGCATTCTATCATCAAATAATTATAATGAGGCTTTGTTTTAGAATAAAATTAATTATAATGAGTTTTAGAAGCACATGGTATAATTTTTGGTATGCTATTATTTTGTTCATTAGTCTTTTTAATAAATTTTATGAAAATAAAAAAAGGCAATATTTATTCTATTTGTATATAAAATAATAAATTAACTATAATTTACATATATCTTTTTTTTTTTTTTACTTTTTCTTGGATTAAGAAAATCAAAATAGTTTTCAAATATAAACTAAAAATTTTCCAATATTTACTAAAACAAAATAGCTGATTATATTTTCAATAAAGTAATTTTTTTTATAAACTTAACGGTGGTTACAAATAATCTTTTCCATTATATGTTTTTTAGTTTTCCTAGAATTTTATATATTTTGAAGAATAAATTTTTTAACTAAAACATTCAAAAGCATCATGTCATTTAAAATTTCCATATTTATTATGTACTTTTAAGTACAAATTTAGAAAAAAAAAGTACAAATTTAGAATAATATTTTTATTCATAATTTTAAACCATGAACAAACAAACCAATTTTTTTCAAATTTGTGCCTCATTTCAAAATTTTCTTTTAATATAGAAATTAAGAAGAAAAAATTAGTTGCCGAACACATATATTTCTATCAAAAGAGTAAATGAAAAATAAGAAACTAGAGCTTGAGAAATTAGCCTAATATGCTTCAATAACTATCTAATACATTTTTTGAAAAATTAAAAATTAAGTTTAATTTGTTCGCGGCGAGTACGAAAATTATTATGGAGACGTAAAATCTTACTTTCACCCTCCAAATTTAAAAGATAATTAAAAAGATAATTTTTTATAAAGTTATATTTTTATATTTTTTTTTTCCATTTTAAACTTAAAATATCCAAGTCATATATCATGTAGAAGTCAAATTCCTTTTCCATTTTTTTGAAAATTTTTCATTTTTGTTTGTTGGGAGTTGGAAATTGATGATGCCTTAGTTGACTATGTCTCTCTCTCTTTTTTTTTTTCTAATTAACTTTTAACGTCATAAATTTGAGAAAAATTGTCAAAAAGATGCAATCTTGAAAGATCTTACAAGTTAAAAGAGGGAAAAACAAAGAAGAAATTAATATAATTTTTAAACTGTTTTAATAAATGTGATTCATGAAAAGTAGTTGAGAAGTTTGAGTTTTTGAAGTCTACCTAACCTAGCTGTACTAAATTGGTAGATTTATGAATTTTAAAGGTTAGTATGCCGACTTGAACATCGTTATATTCAATTATCAACGTTTTTAGTAGTTACTTATAAGTCGTTAGGTTTAAATCTATATCCTTTATTTTGACATGTAATACTACAAAAATAATAATAACAAGAAAAGTTTCATAAACTCCAATTTATTTAGCCTTGAGATTAATAAATTGGTGGAGGAGCAAAATTCTATATTCGTATTATAGAGTAGACTTCATAATTTCAAAGTATAAACTTAACCCGTGAACTAGCCGATACTTTCTAGGATCTCGAGTCTCCCTCTCCATTATAGTTGGTTGCAAATTTTTATCCTTATAAACAATTAAAAGATTAGTTAAACAAATAATTTCCTTTTTTTCCAACACATTGATAGAGTTGTATATGCCCATTGGATTTCAAATCCATGAGTTCAATACATTTGAAATATTAATAAATGAAATATTGGCTATTAATTAATCTCAAGTTCTCAACTTTTTTTTTTTTATTTACATTTATAAGCCAACTTGAAATCAGTTTACTGTTGAACTAATATATATATATATATATATTTATGTATGTATATTACATACATATTACTTAAAATTAAATGATTACTTGATACGGAAAAAAAGGAATAAAGTAGAAGTAAAAGTAAAAGTAAAGTTTTTTTTTTTTTTTAAGAAAAAGAAATCCAATGGGCAATTCTTTCTTTAATTTTTTTACTTTAATAATTCTATTTACATCTTTATAACTGTTAACGCAATTGAAAATGAATTCTTATAATTTTGATTATTTACATTATAACCCTCATTTATTTTCGTTGTTTCTTTTTAATTTTTGTTTAATCAAATACGTGAACAGTCATGTTTAGATCATCCTTAAAAATATGTCTAATACTAGTTTCTTACGATAATAAAAAAAAAAGTTATTATCTATTGGTTTAAATTGAAAAAAAAAATATATATATATAGTGATCACTAAAGATGTAGGGAGGAAGAGAGGTTTCTAGTTTTTTTTTTTCAATTGTTTTTTAAACAAACTTCCATGGCCACCTAGATAACATTTAACATTTGAAGAAAAAAAAACGAGATTCATTCTTAAAACAAGTCAAAGGGAAAATTCAGACAACCACGAGATAGGGGCATTTATACAAATTTGATTCTCGACCTACAAGCACAAATATTACATGTTAAATAGTATAAAAAAATTTAAATCAACAACTCATAAAGAGAAATACAAATGTCTTTTGTCAATTAATGAAACAAATTTTTTTAAAAATGGAAATCTCATAATTACAATAATTAAGCTACAGGGTGACAAATGACAATGATCATTTCATTTTTCATACTATCTTTAGTTCCACCTCATTACAACTCCAACATTTTTAATTTGTAATTTGATTAAAATAAATCAATACAATAAAAACAAATTAAAATTGAAAATTTTAAAAGAATAAAACATAACTTGATAGCCACCTATATGTGTATTTAACCATTAATGAATAATTATTATCCTATATCATTTTTGATATCATTGTGTATCTCAAACTTTTTAAATGAAAATAAAATATCGATATAAATATTGAAAAAATATCAAGTAGATATTTTTAAAAACAAAATCAAAAAATATCAAATTCATAATAAATAGTTAAATTAACAAAATAAATCTTACACATTTTTTAAATTAGTTAAAAACTATTAATATACACACACAYATATATATATATAATCTATATTAATGATATTATGTTATATATTGTTTAGTTTTTACTGAGATATAATTATTTTATTTAGTCCAACTTTAACTACTCTCTTTCAAATACTATATTATAACTAAAAAAAGATGTTTCGAACTTACATAAAGATATTAATACTATTAACTATTTATACTATGTTCGATTTGGAACATTGAATTAAGATTTTTGAAAAGTATTGCCACCTCACGAACATGGGCCTAAGTCTATGGCATCCGATCCTTGGTTGTAAAAATAAAACTAAAGCACCACTAAACTTTATGTGTTAAAAGAAAGAAAAAGAAAAGAAGAATAAGAAAAAAAAAATCTATATATTGCGCATATAAACACAACTTTGCCCTCCCCTTTGCTTCCTAGCTCCTTCTCTATTTCTTCTCCTTAGTCCAGGTTTGTTCCCACTATCTTAATATTTTTTTCTTCGCTAGACTTTTTTTAGTAAGAATAGAAATTTACTTTCGATAGGAGCAAGATGTCTTGACGTTGAACTATGCTCATATGTTTGACTTTTTCTTCGTAACCTGATTGTAAATAAACACTCTTTTTTAATTTTAATTTCCATTTGCATGTATTCGATTCTTGTAATCAATTTGATATCGCACAATTATTGTATGGTGATTTATTAAAAAAATATTATGGTTTAAATACTTTTTTATCCATGTACTTTTGAAACATTAATTTGGTACTTGTACTATTAATTTTTGTTCATTTTAATTTTTGTACTTTTGAAAGGTTTGTTTTGATCCATATACTTTTAAAATTTGACAATTTTGGTCCCTTCATTTTTATTTTTATCTCATTTATTTTGATCAAAATTTTAACATTATACTCCATATTCAATAATTTTTTGAAATGTACATAAATTTGTATTAAATGGTTTTTTTAACCCTTTCATTTATTGATATATTGAATAACATTATCTATATTTATTGAGAATTTGATATAGTTTTTTAACTAATAAATTTACCACAGCTATGGCTACGATGTGTCAAATTCTTATTGGTGGTTCCTTTTTATTTATCAAAATAATAAGTTGTCATGACATGAATAATAATAATAATAATAAAAACAATGAGCATTTTGTTTGCATTCTTTTTACATTGGATTTTTGCATCTTATACCCACAAACAATTGAAAAGTAAAATATACCCGAAAAAAAAATCTTATCTCTCTATTCTTTTTCTTTCTTAAAATTTAAAGGGAATATTAGCAACTTTTTTTTTTTTTTTGGTCCTTTCATGTTTTGGAATCAATCCCTCTTTTGGATTTTGATTATTTATACAAACTTAATTTGATTAATTTTTTTATGACTATTTTTGCAATTTCAAATGCAGAGAGAGGGTGGTCTTGGCTTCTTGTACTGAATTTATGTTATCAAGTTTTTCTACTTGGCTACTTCTTGGTAAGTTTCCCCTTCAATTATTTTCTTTCTTACATATTTGTGCCTCCATTTTTTTTTCCTTTCTTTGAAATGAACATTTTTTCGTATTTCGTCGATATTATTAAAAGAGTTAGGATACAGAAGTAGATAAAATATCAATGAAATATAACATCGATAAAGTATTCACCGTCAGTTGCAGTGATAGTTTTGAAAGAAATCTTAAATCATATATATATTTCTAATTAAGCTCTCATGCATGTTTTTTTTTTCCTCAAAACTTAAATCTATGTTCTAGTCCGTAAATTTTGCACTTACTCAATTTTGATTAGTGTTGTTAGTTTTTTATATATTATTTGATATTTGATAAATATCTAAAGTAAAAATGACATAATTTATTTTTCTCGTTCATATGATGAAAAAAATATTACGGTGGGCAAATATGCGAAGCCAAACGTGTTATTATTTAATAATCGAAATTTAGAAATGGTAAATATGTTAAGTAATTAATGATAAATGTTGAACTGATTTTTTATGCATATATGGACGTCAAATAAAAACTTGAAAGTGTTAGGAGGAAGAATTTTCCCCTTCAAAACTTGTAGTACTCAGTAGAAAAAAGAAGACTAAAATCTAGTAAATATGAAAATTAGAGATCAACACAAATTTTAAATTTTAAAAACTCTGTTTGAATTAATAGTTTAATCATTATTATCATTACCATTTATGATATCAATTTTTTTTTTCTTGTCAACATTTCTCTTTTTTTTTTCGAAAGGAAAAGGGAAAAAGATATTATCTTAAATTTTTTGAAAAGGTGGATTTGCCAGAAGATAGCTGACGTGTAAAATACTAGGACATGAACTTATCCTCAATATAGCTCAAAAAAATGAAAATAAAAATATTCACAAAACTTAAAAAGCAACCAAACCGAAATGGGATTCCCTTTAATTTTGGTCCTCTTTTGTAGAAACAACAAATTAGGAGAGGTTCCACTCGACCGAAAATTGTTAAGGACAACGGTACTCTTCTAAGTATGTCTCGAGTATCTCATTTTTCTAGTCAATGTAAACTTTGATTTTTGTTTGTATTTTCTCTTACAAGCCCAAAAAAAATTAACCAAAGTTCCCCAAGATTTAAAGAATAGAAAGATTTATAATATATAAATGAAACAACTATCTCAATCGATATAATGTCTTTTGGTAAAATAAAAAACAAAATGACGAGGACTTGTTCATGTTTTGACCATTTGGAGGTTAAGGTTAGTGTGAAAGCAAGCTCTCTCTTCCCTCAATTCTAGTAAAACGTCCGTAGTTGACATATTGTTGATATATCTTTTATAGATCAACGAATTCAACATCCAAATCAAAATGACAGCCTTGACATATTTTACACGTTAGACATTTAGTGTATTCTCTTAATTATCTGTTTTAGATTCTCCCACCCACATGCTTCTAACCTCTAGAAAATTTTTTTTTTAAGAAGTTATCTGCTCCCATCCGAATCCTAATTTTAGAGTTCCAATAATTGAGTCATACTAAAAAAGAAGGTGCATCTTGTTAATATAGGTATTAACTATCAACTATCTCGAATCTCTCTTGATCATACTTGCATAACACCTTCAAATTTCCTCCCTCTCATTCAGATTACATCAGTTTATTCACTCCTACTCGAGTGTCACACACCATACTTGTCAAAATTTTCTAAAACATAGAATCGAAAATAGTTAGTTAATTTGGTTTTGATAATTTTTTTTCTCGATTCGAGTTTGTTCATTTTAACTTGGTTAGTTTGCAGTCGATTTATCAATTCAATTTGAATAATTTTATGACAAAAGTTTTCATACCAAAACGATTGAATTCTGTATAATTTCAGAGTTTCAATATAAATCATTTATTTAACATTGTCTTATTTTACCTTTTGATTAAAATCAGTATTATTAAACTTTCTATTTCTTTTTACCTTTCCAGCGAACATTTATTTAAATTAATTTTTCTTTTCATTTCAAATCTTCCTCGATCCAGCCAAATTCAAACTCGATTTTGAAATCTCAACAGTATTTATAAATTTATAATCTTAGATTTTAGACAAAAAGAAAAACAAAAATATAACTTGGTAGACGAAATTAAAAAATGCTTTACTTTAAACGTGTAACGTGCCGATAATGTCACGTAACAGGTAACACCCAGAAGATTTTATAATATTTGTTTTTTTTATTAATTAAAAGAAAAAGAAAAAAATCACAACGGCCGATTTCTTACCCGTTTTGTTGACCCGCGGGTGACGTGACATTTTTTGACGGTTACATCCGTTTGCGCGCTTTCCAGGAACCTTCCTCCAACTTTCGTGTCCCTCGAGAAATATTTAGATCTCTCTTACACGTGTCGTGTTCTCCTTAACTTTCCCTGTACGACAATATTGTACGTCTCCATGTCCCCTTCAGTTCAGATGTTCTTTCTTAACCCTAATTTTATATC